AGTTGATTCTGAGTTTTCTTATTTAGCTAATATCCAAGTGAACAGTAATTCTAATCAGAGGGATAGGGAATGGAAACAAAAACACATGATTTTTAAGAATTTCAGAGGTAACGATGCCAATCACTGACCTGTTGAGTCACATCCACATATGCGGACATGAGGCAAACAGCGCCTCCAGATTCAGATTAAACCGATAGCCTCTAGGGGACTCTCGATGACCAAAGCTTCTTTTTATATATGAATCTGAAAATTCTTTCCTTTATTCACACCTCCCCCAATTGAATGCAGAGTGAAATCAGTAGTTCACTTCTGAAAGTTAACCCTTCAGCCTCCTTTGAGCTTTGAAAAGACTGAGAGTAGTGTTATGACAGGCCTAGAACCAGTATATCGGAACCTTTGTGGCATACAGGGATATGCTCTGGGACGCCAACCAACAGGTCAGCAGCTCCCAAGCCCCAGCTGTCCATGGAGAAACATCAGGATTTCTGTTCCCATAAAGACTGAAAGACTTGGGGACACACAAAAATAAAGACTAGGCATTGTTTTAAACCATTGAATTGTGGAATGATTTGTAACACAGAAAGAGAAAAGTTGTAGGGAACCCACAAAACAAGTCTGGGCTAAGTCAGTCATAATTAAGGCAATGAAGCCATTGGAATAGATTCAAGTATACTTTTAAACAATTTAATAAGTGTTCCCTATAAAACAAACAGTGTGGTAAGTTTTACTTAAATTCAGATTCATATCTGTAATGATACTGATAATTGAACTGAAAGGATTGCAAAGGGAATACACAATAGTACAATGCTTGGTATCAAAGAGAAATTTTGATCTTATTATACTTGAACTTATATTTTCAGAATATGAAAATCATTCTAATAGTAAATAAATGAATACATAAGGAATTGAAATGCTTCAGGAATTTCTCAGTAACTGAAAGGTAAGCGGTTCAAGCCTATCTTCTGCTCTGCAGGAGAAAAATGAAGCCATCTCCTGCCAAGCACATGTCAGTCTAAAACCCTGAAGGCATGGTTGGTTCCACGCTGTCCTGTAAGGTTCGTATGAATCAGAATGATTCAGTGATGATGGTGGTTGGATTTTTTGTATTTTTTTCATGACTCTAGTAAAAGTGCATGCAAAATATAGCAATCAGAAAGACGGGGGGAAAAACAAAGAAAAACTAGGTTCAAAACCAAATGTATTATTGTATCAACACAAAAAACTCCACTTTAGTCCTATTTTCCCATCTCTGGTCATGCCATTAACAAGGCCCTTGCAATTATGCATTCTCCTTAATCTCCCACCATTTGTATCGCTGTCACGTCCCATCTCTCCACACCTTGCTTTTTATTTCTCTTATTCTCAGTTTAGATACAGCTTTCTTACTTCATGCCTCAATTCATGCCAAGTTTGGAAGCATTATTTTATGGGTAACAAACTCTGACCAGCCTTCAAATCTTGATAAGGCTTTAACATTTTGAAAAATTGCATCTACTGATAACCCAATATATGGCTCTCACCCTCATTCATTACTCACTAGTCGTTCCGTAATTGAGAGAAAGATGAGGCCTCAGAAACCAAAGGAGCCAGTTCAATTGTGTCACAGAGGCCGCTGTGAACAGGAACTGACTGGAGGCAGGGAGCAGTCTGTACTTAAGGAGCACAGTTGGCACATGGGTTATGAGCTTGCCTGCTAACAAGAATTGGAAGTTCAAACCCACCAGTGGTTTTGCTCTGTGGAAAGAAAGCCCTGACAATCTGCTCCCATAAAAATTAGTTTAAGAAACCCTAGTTATGCTGCTGTGTGGTTCTGTCCAGTGAGTTCTGACTCCTAGCGCCCCTAGGTACAAGCATCCACACAATTGTTCTCGCGGTGAGCCCATTGTTGAATCCACTGTATCAATCCACCTTGTCCACGAGTCTTCCCCTTTTCACTTCCCCTCTACCAAATACGATGTCCTGATTCTTCCCAAACAACATGTCCAAAGTACATGAAATGAAATCTCGCCTTCCTTGCCGCTAAGGAGTATTCGGTCTGTACATCTTCCAACACAGATTTGTTTGTTCTTTTGGCAGAGCGGAGTACTTTCAATATTCTTCCTCGGTACCAGAATTCAAATGCATCGGTTCTTCTTTGGTCTCCCTTATTCAATGTCCAACTTTCACATGCATATGAAGCTACTGAAAATACCAGTTTGGGCCAGGTGCACCTTAGTTCTCAAAGTAACATTTTTGCTTTTCAACATTTTAAAAAAGTCTTGTACAGCAGATTTACCCAATGCAATACATCATTTGATCGACAGGGCAGCTCTATTCTGTCCAACAGGGTCACCAGGAATCCATATCAACTGACTGGCAGCCCACAACAACAGCAGTCTTTCTTAGAATATTATTTTATTGTTTGTCTTAAAATGATGTATTAGTTTCATTGTTTGTCATGCACATTTCATCCTCTACATTATTTCGGGTTATATTATCTTTATCCTTTTTCATACAGTTCCTAGCTTCTCAAACATCCAACTCACTGCCATGAAGTTGATTCCAACTCATAGTGATCTTACAGGCAGAGTTGAATTCCACCTGTGGGTTTCTGAGGCTGTAGCCTTAGAGGCATAGAAAGCTTCATCTTTCTCCCATCATTCCTAGTCTAGTGCCTTACAAGTAACAAGTGTTCAGCAAATTCTAGTTAAAATGAAAGGAATGCTTACAAAATATTCTCCTATCCTTTGGAATTGTTCAGTCTTCATTGGTGTAATATACACATTATTTCTTGATCAAGTTTCTTAAAGGAAAATATGGGTTATTTCATTCATTCCTTTGTGATTGTTTCTTATAAAATTAAATACAAAATTTCGTGATTAAAAACCAAACAACATATTCCCCACTATTGTTGGCACTGCCATTGAGTCAATTCTGACTCATAGTGACCTTATAGAATAGAATAGACTGACCTTGTGGGTTTCCAAGGTCATAACTCTTTTATACAGTTATGTATTTTTATAAATATATCAGTTTAACTTTGAGGTTAGCAGCACAACTAGTAACCAGTAGGCCTCCTGGGCACCATGGCTGTGCTACCTGTTCGCTATCTTTCCAATTCTCTGAACATGCCTGGGGTTTTGCCAGTCCTGTTCCTTCGCGCCACCTCACTCTCCATTTGAAATATCATCTTACAAATATTGTGCTGCTCAAACCATAAAAAGCAAAACTCAGATTGTCTCGAGTTTGTGAAGTATCTCATTCCCAATCTGAAACGCTGTTATCTATGAATGCCCCTTCTGTTTACTTTTTTCGTGGCACTTCATTTATCCTAACTTATATATGGATTATAAATTAGGCTGCCTAAAATTAGCTCAACCAATAAAAAGTATTTGAATAAGTGTATGCTTACCATCATTTACAAGTGATGCATTTTTAAAACAATGTAGGGAGATTGTGTATTTTCCCTTTTAGGCTTAGTTACAGAATATGGTAGTGAATTTGAGGATAAAGAACGTAGGGGTGGAGTCTAGCCTGTCAATCAGCTCATAGCCAGTGAGGCCAGTGAAGTCTCTGTGTGGGTATGGCCTTCCCCTGAAAAGTCGGGGAAATCCTGTATTTTTCTCCTTGAAGGCCGGAGTCATCTCTCTACTGACAAAGCTGATTCCCTGAGGAGAAGCCACATGGACCTACCCTGATGCAGCCCTGGAAGCTGGAAAAGCCACAAGGAGACCCTGCCAGTGCGGAGATGCTTATAGCACCACTGAATCCAAAGACTTTCTACTTGCTGGCCTGTGATCGTCCTGAACTTGGTGTAATTACATGTGTTTCCTGAGTCTAAAGAGGACTTTATAGATTGGTGTCGGGCATATGGGCTAATATTGGACATATGGGCTTGGAATGGACTGGGTTGGGATGCTTCCTTAATGTATAATTACCCTTTATATAAAACTCTCATACACATATGAGTTTCTATGGATTTGTTTCTCTAGTCTAACTGGACTAACACAGAGAAGGAAATATAAATGTAAGTAGAGGAAGCTACTGCTTGCATCCAGATGTTTGAATCATAATCGTATTGGATTATTTCTTTTCCTTACTCAAAAGTTTAAGGAATTGGATTCTTTCTTAAAACCACAATAGGTTTTGTTAGAGAGCTTATCTGAATGGAGAAGACATTAGTCAATAATACAATAAACATTTTTTAATGCAAACTCATCACTAGCTTCTGAAGGTAAATTTTACAACAATAAAGTCTTTATAAATTCATAGTCATTAATCTAGTGATGATAATTTAAGAACTTAACCATTGCACCTGCTCTCCTGCTAATAATTATAATCAGCCTAAATGTGAAGCACAGAACTTTTAAAAAATATTTAAATATATTAAAAGATGCACTAACTAGAATAATAAACCCATCATCCCCAGCTAGCAATTAGTGATTCATGTTCACCCCTTAACCCTCACAAAACTATCTTGATTCAAATTACATCATCTAGTGTCATCCATACACAGAACTGTGTAGAAGATAAAAATGTAATTACTGTATCAGTATAACACTTTACATTAATTAACAATTTTGATACCATTGATGATTACACAGGACAACATCATAATATCTTCAGGGCTTCTTAAAATAGACAAGCTTCAAAATGTTTTTGGGAAAATGAAATTAAAAGGTAATGAAAATTTCCCATGACTTTTTGAAACTCTTTCTTTTGGTACAAAAACTAATCAAAACCCAATAACAAATACTTATAATATTATCCTAAGTTTGTGTAAAAGGGGGAAGCTATTCAATAAAGTAAAATAAAAGGATAAAGACCAATATGATGACTGAGACTGTAGAAAATAGGCTCATTGATGATTCTAGTTTTAATTTTACTCTTATCTAGCTCACCATTTTGAAAAATAAAATTATACTGAGTTACTATTCAATCAAAAGTAGAATATATTTTACAGTTTCAAATACTTTTTTGGAAATGGAAGAGTCTATAAGCAAATAGCTAATTATTCTTACCTGAGTATTTTCAAATATTGCCGAAAGAAAATACAGATACTTAAAAATCTGTATAGCTTCAATCATGCAGTTGCCATCAGTTTGCCTGTCATTGTTTTTTCTCCTATGTATTGGATGGAATCACACAACTGGAAATATAAAGTGAAATGAAAGTTAGTAGAATTAACCAATAATTATATTTATATATATTTTAATTTGGACGTTACAGCAAAAAGCAAACAAATAAACGCAAATCCACTACCACCGAGTTGATTATGACTGCTAATAACACTGTATAGGGTTTCTGAGAGTGTAAATCTTTACAGATGTAGATATGCTTTTATCTACATTACATTAAAATTCGAATTAATTTCCCAAGTCAGAGGAAAGCAATGTTTTATATAGAAAGAACACATTTTTTAAAAGGCTAAGCTACAGATTGCTAAATAAAAAATGTTTTAATTCATAAGTATCTTAGTATGAAAGCATCTTAGTTGTTGGCGGACAATATAACCATTTCTTCCTTAGCCTGTAAAATAACTGGCTCCAGCTATTTCCTTCACACATTAACTAATTAGACTTGGCGCTTCACTAGCAAAGTGCAAACCCTGTCCAAGATGATTAAGAGGGGAAACCAAATTTTATAAAACACTGAAATTTTTCATTCCACTTTAATTGCCATGAAAAGCATTTAGGTAACTCACCCTTCTGAACATACCTATCAGTTGGTTAATGTTTATCACTTTTTATTCCAACAAAGATGAGGGAAAAGTTCTCCCAGGTAAATACAATAATGCAAAATAGCCCCTTAATTTGGCCATTTTGAATATATCTAAATTCAGATAGGAACAGAAAACCAACAGAATAACGTCCCTTCTTGATAAAAGAGCCAAAAGGTGAGGCTTAAAAATAAAAAGTGGCAACACATCTCACTCATGTTCTGTATCCAAGCAAAACTTTCAGAAAACCTTAAAAGAACAACCAGATTGTTATATATAATTTCAAAAATCATATTTAGATATTTTAGGTACTGTTTGTAATACAATCTCAGGTTTAAGTTACTCATAATGATTATAAATGGAATGTAAATACTTTTGCAGCCCAAGAACAAAACATGTATGAGTGGATAATCTCACTGAGATTTTCCCAACACTACAGGAGGGAGAAAAAGTTATCAACCAGAAACAAAACTATTTATGTTCTAGCGCCTTCACTGATGAATTGACCGGTTTCTTCCTTTCATTCTCTCTCCATCTTGAGGCGCATAGAGGATCCCGGTGGTGGAGTGTCACCGCCAGCAACTGTGCAGGAGAAGAACAGGCTTTCCATTTCCGTGCGACTTTACAGCTTCACAAACCCACAGAGTCATTATGAGTCAGCATTGATCAGGTGGCAATTAGTGTTGGATTTTTTGATTCAACAAACAAACAATTATGACGATGGAGCAAGTGTTTCATTCTGTTGTGCACAGGTCACTCAGGATGGGGACTGACTGATTGACATGAAGGCACTTGACAGCAACAACAAATAAAACTACAGCACGTGTCCATATAAATATGTGTTTGTGCTCATCTCAGATTATACCTCAATTGGTTTCCTACAAGTGCACTCCCCAGGCCCAAAGTACTCCATGTGTTTTTAGTATTGAAATGCTTATCCCAAATCTGTTTCCCAAAAGGTTATACCAACCTATGTTTCCACCAATGGTATATAATAATGACAATTTTAAATCACTCTTCCAGCAACAATCAGTCTGATCTTTTGACAATTTGATATTTTTATTACTTGTTCCTTTTCTGAAATTTGTACTTATTTAATTACAGTAGTATAACTTTCTAATGTATTTAATTTATTAAGTATTTATTCGATGATTCTCTATTTTCTTTTATAATATTATATTTTAAAAAGATGTCCTGAAGTTTCAATAAAATATTATGTCTAAAGGTTTTTAGACTCTTTGCCATATACTTTGATTGCTCTTTCCCCAACATGTGAACTACACTCATTTACTGAATTCTTTCATTAAATTTGTAAAGGCTGATTTTATTTCAAAGTTTTCTTTAATATTATTGTTATATATTTTAGCATACAAGATATTAAAACACTTTTATCATTAACAAATGGGTTAAAATATCTTCTTCCATTGACAGTTACCATTTCAATGGTCTAATATGTTTACCAGAAGCCCTAATGTTGTTGTGGGTTCCACACTGGGCTGCTATCCACCTGGGTCAGCAATTTGAAACCACCTGCTGGACACGATATGGCTGTCTACTCCTGGAAAGATTTTCCGTCTCAGAAACCCACTACTCTAGGTTATAGGGTCACTAGGAGATGGAATTGACCCTTTGGCAGTAAGAATATGTATATTTAATTAACTGTACTTTTTAAAGATTAATCTTTTATTTAGTTAAAATTTGACCGTGTAGTTATTTGTACAACACTTCAAATATGTTTTTCAGCACCAACTTCTTCAGAATCATAAAATTTTTCCATATACAACTCATGTTTTAAGTCATCGCTTTCTTCCTCTCTGCTTTCCCTCCTTCTTTCTCGTTTTCTTCCTTCATTAGCTTTTTTTTCTGCCTTAGCCTCACTATCATTTATGCAGTATTTTAATACATTAAAAATAAGCAGGCGATTAAAGAATATATTTACGCAGCATGGATGCTAATAACAATCCATACTTTATAAAACACAAGTTACTATGAAAAGCTATAAATTTTATAAAAATGTTTCTATATATATATTGAAACAGAGCAATTATTCAATTAAGGCTCTTGGTAAAAGGATTTTGTAAATAGTTACAAACAGGTTATTCAAATGAAGAAAATCAAGGAGCGGTTGTTGATTTTTTTATGAACACTTGTCAGGGAACTATTTGACCATTTGGATTACATAAAAAGTCATTAATTTTTCCAGGGTTATAGCGTTCAATTTTATTCATGATAATATCCATGCAGTGGATAAGTTCTCTGAAATACAAATTTCTGTGAGCTAGAAATTAGTTCCTATTTCCCAAAGTAGGGTGGGGAGAAAGGAATTTTACTTGTTTCTATTCTAAATTGATCACAACATCACAATAATTGGATATAACTTTAACATAAATCCAATAAACATTATTCAATAAAATATAGAAAAGTTCCCACCATTAATGTAACTAAAAAGTGTGTAATGTTATCTACTGTCAAAAACTGTTACAAAGAAAAAAGGGGAAACTCAGGGATAAAAGTATCACTTGTTGAGGTAGGCAAAGGACCTGAAAAGAAGTTTTTTCACAGGGGCAGAAATCCGAATGGCCAATAAACATGAGAAAATGTTCCCGATATTTAGCCATAAGAGAAATGCAAATTAAAACAACAATGAGGTACCACCTAACAAACACCCTCTAAAACAGCCCAACTAAAAAAAATCAGAAAATAACAAGTGTTGGAAAGGCTGTGGAGAGGCAGGAACTCTCATCCACTGCTGTTGGACATGTAGGTATGTAAAGCCATTATGGAAATCTATCTGGCGATATCTAAAACAGATGGAAATCAAGTTATCATACGACCGATCCAGCAATCCCCCTACTGGGCATATCCCCAGAAGGGGCAAGAAACAAACCATGGCCAGACATCTTTGCTCCAATGTTCATCATGGCACAGTTCACAATTGCAAGAAGTTGGAAATAACCCAAATTTCCATCAACTGATGAATGGATTAAAAAGCTGTGGTATATACATGCAGTGGCGTACTACACCACTAAAAAGCAGTGATAAACATATGAAGCGCATTGTTGCATGAAAAGAACTGGAGGAAATTATCCTAAGCGAAGTAAGCAAAGCACAAAAGGACAAGTAAAACATGAGTCCTCTGAGGTAAGCTTAAAAAAAATGCAAAAGGGGCATAGGGAAAAAGCTAATGTATACCAACAGTAGAGAGTGGAGCACATCCTGGCCCACCAAGCCTTGAGGACAATATTCCCGCTCCGAGCAGCCAATCCACAGAGAAGACCATTTGGCCGGCCCCACTATGAGACACAACATCCCTCACAGACCCATAGCCCTACAGGGGACAACACTGGAAACACAGTGTGGGAATTGCACCCTATCTCACCGCATCACACTGAGGCAAAACACTATGGGTGTGCATCAGAACAGCAAGGGGAACAGAGCTAGGAAGTCTCCAGGGAATACTAAAAATAGACTTTGGGTCCAGGGAGTGGCACCCCCATCAAACTCAACCAGGGAAACACTCCTAAAGGCCAACTAACAGTCCTTGAACTAACTACAGGCCTTTTTTTTCTCCTTTTCTTTCGGTCATTGGTTTTTTTGTTGTTGTTTTCTTTTCTTTTCTTTTGTTGCTTTGTTTTGCTCTGTCCTGTTTTTGTGCATGTTATTAGCTCTACAAGTCTGTCTAAAGAAGATAGGCTGGATGAACAATCTGGAGGAGAAAACAATGGGACCATAGGTTCTGGGAGGACATGGGAGAGGGGGAGGTGGGGGAAAGGAAGTGGTGTTAACAAGCCCAGGGACAAGGGAACAACAAGTGATCCAAAATCAGTGGTAAGGAGGGTGTAGGAGGCCTGGTAGGGCTTGATCAAGGGCATTGTAATCGAGAGGAATTACTGAAACCCAAATGAAAGCTGAGCATGAGAGTGGGACAAGAGTAAAGTAAAAGGAAATAGAGGAAATAACTAGGTGACAAAGGGCATTTATAGAAGTCTAAATAAAGGCATGTACATATGTAAATATATTTGTATATGAGGATGGGGAAATAGA